CAGGCACATTTGGAGGCATTGGCAGAGAAAGATGCCACCGAGAAGTCTGATGCTGCAAGAGATGCATTACTTGTTGAGCTCACTCTTGATTCTAAGAAGGAGGCTCGAGGAAGAAATGATAATTCGAAACACACGCAGGAAAAGTCCAAGGATAAGAGAAAGATTAAAGACACCAAAAAACTAAAGGATGTGAGGGTTTGAACTAATCTGTTGTCCACTTTTAACCTTTCTTGCCTATATTTGTAACTAGTTTTAATGTTTTGATATAGGCTACTCTTGGAAACGGCCATCACTTCAATGTTGATTCAATGGAACACAGGTAAAGATCTGCTCTGTACAATTTTTTTAGTTGAGATGGTGGTAACCTGGAAACCTTTTGTTTTGAATATGTTGAATAATCTGCCCAATTGATTTCTTGTTTCAGCCATCTTCCGGTTGTATCTTTTGGTGATCATTCAGAGGCTGGCATTGTTTCTGAAGTTGGAGCTTTAAAAAAACAGGAAGAGGAATACATGCGCCAAGTAGAGCTAGAGGAAGAGGAGAGAAAGCTTGAAAAAACTCTAGAGTATCAAAGAAAAATTGAGAACGAAGCTAAGGAAAAGCACACTGCAGAACAACAAAAGAAATACAGTTCTCTAGTTCCGATGAATGTTCCTGAGACAATGGATATTGTTTGCACAAATAATGTCGTTGATGATCTATGTTTACAAGAACAAGAAAACTCCGTAAGTCAGGAAACGATTTGTCCATAGAGTGACCAGGTTCTAGAGTTTTGGTTTTTTGACTAATTACTTGAAATTATTTTTTGGTTTCTTTGCTTTGCCAGAAAAACTGGATTCAAACGAATGGAGTACCTGATAACTTGGAAGGAACCAAAGTGAATACGAATGGTGTTTTGTCGTCAACAAATCATTGTGCGATAACTGATACTGCAAAGTTGCAGCGTGTAAAATCCCAAAAAGGTTGCCACTGGTCTTCGAATTTGAAAATATGTATCCATTGACTTGACCTTTCTGAGACACTTATATTTTGTTCTTTGTGTTGCAATAGTGGCTAATGGGGTAGCTACTCAAGCTATTGTTTTACAATCTGATCAACGCATCGGGAGGAGGGGTAGACGCCAAAAAGCTTCGAACAAGTCAGTTGATAGAATATATCAGGTCACACCTTCTGAGAGCGAGAACATTAAATCTCAGAGATCAGGCACCGAAGGTGAGAGAGAATCTGAATATCTACGTAGCAATGGTATTAAAGTTTTTTTTTTTTTGGGTTCTTTTTCTTCCCAGATTCTTCTGTCTCATGTTTTTAAAGCATTGATAGTTGTGACCTGGAGATGATCTGATTTGCATCTAGATTTGTTTCCTCAGTTTACTGGGTTTTTAACTCGAATATTAGATGCACTTGGGAAAACACCAATTAAGGCACCAGTGAAACAGATTTATCCGTTAAAACTTATAGTTCACGGTTATATTTGTTAACTATAAATGGCAGTATTTGCATATTGTTTTTAGCATTGTTTTCTAACATCATCATTCATATTGTATTCAATATTTTATCTTGGTGATGCAGAAGCGGAAACAAAGACATTAAGACAATTACAAGCTGAAGAGGATGAAGAAGAAAGGTTTCAAGCTGACCTTAAAAAAGCAGTGCGTCAAAGCCTTGGTAGATTTTCAACCATTCCAATTTTATATCATGTCTCGCAATCAACTTTTTCAATTGGTTGCTTAGTACCCTTTGGTGACTATTGTCTGACTGCAAATGTCATTTGTGTAAAGATTGGTTTATTGTTTATACCACTTCTCTACATCTAAGGACACATTTCTTTTAGATGTTTTAGACTATTATTTCGCATGTTTTACTTATGCCAATAATTGCTACCTTTTATTTCCATCACATTGTTTTGTGATCATTTGGCATGACAAAAGCATCTAAGCGGAACATTTTGTTTGAACCCAGATGTATACCAAGGAAGAAGATATATGCCGCCATATCTGAGGACACCTCTGGAAGTAAACAAAGATGGGGTTTTATCTGATGTTACAGAGGAGTCTCTGAGTTCGACCGGAGTTGCCATTTTTGGCACAGGTCTTCAGAATGAAGTTGGTGAATACAATTGCTTTTTAAATGTTATCATACAGGTAACATTCATTCTCACATACTGTTATATCAATGTCTATAGTATCCCGCTTTCGAATTCTATATGCTGAATGCTATTTTTGTTTTGTTTGGGTCTCAGTCTTTATGGAATCTGGGGCTGTTTCGGGCTGAGTTCTTGCGGAGATCAACACTAGAGCATCATCACGTGGGAGATCCTTGTGTTGTCTGTTCTTTGTATGAAATTTTTACTGCTTTGACTGCTGCTTCGAGTGAAACACACAAAGAACCTGTGGCTCCTTCATCTCTCAGGATTGCTTTGAGTAACTTGTATCCTGATAGCAGTTTCTTTCAAGAGGTAAAGGAATTTATCTCTGGTTTTAAATGTTTAACCTAATACAGTGTATGCTTTTGTTTCCATCGAGGAGCCTAAACTTGGGTTCATATGGTGGACAGGCTCAGATGAACGATGCTTCAGAAGTACTGGCTGTGATCTTTGACTGCCTTCATCGCTCATTTGCTCAAAGCTCAAGCGTGTCTGAGACAGAATCTTCTGAGAGCAACTGTACGGGTTCGTGGGACTGTGCCAACCGCACATGTATTGCCCATTCTCTGTTTGGAATGGATATTTTTGAGCAACTGAATTGCTACAGCTGTGGGCTGGAGTCCAGGCATATGAAGTACACTTCTTTTTTCCATAACATCAACGCTAATGCCCTACGGACCATGAAGGTATCATATGAGTGTTATTAGACTTGAGTTTCACATAATTTATCGGATAATTCACTGTGGTTTTTGCCCCACTTTATGCCTAATAGGTTACATGTGTTGAGAATTCTTTTGACGAACTTCTAAATCTTGTCGAGATGAACCATCAACTTGCCTGTGATCCCGAAGCTGGTGGGTGTGGGAAACCAAACCATATCCACCATATTCTCACCTCTCCTCCACATGTTTTTACTATAGGTAAAAATATTTATTTTTAGGATTTCGATGAATGCAAGCCTTTTCAGATCATTGATATTATTATATTGTGGCTGGCAGTTTTAGGGTGGCAAAACACATGTGAAACTGTAGAAGACATAGCAGCTACTCTTGCAGCCTTGAATACCGAGATAGACATCAGCATCATGTACCGTGGCCTGGACCCTAAGAGCATGTATAGCTTAGTTTCCGTGGTACGCAGTTCTTCTTCTTCTTCCCTGTGACATATTACCAAAAGAATGGTTTCAAACCTGAAACTGACTGTACTTTGTGTTTTACTTGTTTATTTTCACCCTAAAAACGTCCTGGTCTTTCGCAATTTTAACCTAAAGTTGAACTTTTGCTGATTCTGCAACTCCAGGTTTGCTATTATGGACAGCATTATCATTGCTTTGCATATAGTCATGAACACGACCGATGGATCATGTACGATGACAAAACCGTTAAGGTAAGACTATTGAATAAACTTGACTTTGCAGGCAGATACATATTCTTCCATAAATTATCATCCATTTTCTGATATTAATTTATTATATACAGGTGATCGGTAGCTGGAGTGATGTACTTTCTATGTGTGAGAGAGGACACTTGCAGCCACAGGTTCTGCTCTACGAGAAACAAACGTTAAATCGAAAAT